GTGAGACCCCATCAAATACAGAAATTTTTATCGAAGCTTCTACGGAAATAGACGTCTGTCGAAGAATGGAAAGCAGCGTCTATCAATATGATCTAAGAAAGCTCGTCCAAAATATTATAGAAGAAAACAGGGAATCGATTAAGTCGCATTTAATAAAAGAGCTCTTGAGAGTGTTTCATGATCAACGCAGCAGCGCTACCATGAAGTTTAGAGCTCAGTCCCTGAACTACACCACCCAGAACTGGTAACATCACTCCTGAGCAATTAGTTGAGGTCGTTCACATCACATTATAAAGGGAGAAACAAAAACAGGGAAAACTTTTTCGTTGTACTGTGATGTGTCCAAGCTCAAGCACGACCACTGCGCGAAAAAAGCGCGAAAAAAAAACAGAAATAATTTTTACTGCTTAGCAATTCGAGGTCAGACAAGCATAATTACGCATTAACATCAACCTAGAGAAAAAACACTACGCATGGAATATTTCAAGCTTTTGAGTCCACTACACTTCACACTTTTTAGCTTGCTACAATCTGCTATCCCTGAAGAACTATTCGAAAAACTCATCCTCAGATTCATTTTGACAAAAATATGACCAAGTTTCCCTGCTAAAGCGACACTTTGAATTGCACTGACCAAGAACAGGAAGACTTTGGCGTGATAGCTCAGCTTTTTCTATGCAAAACAACTGTCAAGACCGTGTTTTCTACGAAACTATGTGCAGGGGTTTTTAGTGACAAATTCGTTATCGCGTTTTAATCGCACACCAAAATCACGCTACTGTCCTCGTAACCCTATTCAGGGAAACTGAAGGTATAAGGACAAAAGGACAAAAGTTCGCAGCGCCGTAATTATTATATCTAGTCCTACATATTCATATCACACAAGGTATTGTTCACAGTTAGCGCCGCACTCGAGAGCCAGTGGAAAATCCTCAACAAGGACCAGCTTTCATCAAGAGAATCAGAGACCCGAAGAATCGAATCAAATTGATGAACGCATCGATAGCCCTTCCTCTGGGCAGATTCTTCGAGGTTGCCAACTCTTGAAAATATTTATACACGAGTGAAACTATTACCACGATGTCGAGTAGAGGGTGAGAGTGTGTGGAGTATTCACAAACAAGTGATATCATCTCATAAGGCGCTATCACAAGACACGGGGCATCGTGGTGGTGATGCATTACAAGCCGAGTGAAACATTACCTTTTGTTAAAAAAAATAAGCCATAGGCGAAGGTGAAAAGACTCCAGCGGTATACATGATGAATTTTCATTTCCTCGGAGTTCCTGCCCACTTCTAGACTTACTTCTAGAGGATGCCTCCATAACCTACTATAAGCCCCTCGCAATGTTACAGTCCACAACTCGAATTCTCATTGGGTGTGTCTATGGGTTTAACGTGGCCGTCGCCCGCCGTACTTGGTAGAACTCGTGTGGATAAGCTTTTCTAACAACCGTAATAACTTCAGCATATAAGTTATTTGTGAAAGCAGCTTATCCGCAGCTTCTATCAATGAGGCCAGCCGCAACGTTCGAATCGACTGAGTAGTATATGCTCATGATAATTCAAAGAAAACATGGCCGCGTTCATAGTTTGCGACTCGGGAGATTAGGATAGTAGGCGACAGGATATTAGGATAGTAGTAGAGTAGGAGATTGCGCTGACAAGATTGGATACGTATCGATTGAAATCGCTGGAGAGTAGTAGATTGGGCGACTTCAAGCGAATAGATCAATACATATCTAATCTTGTCAGCGCACTATCCTCATCTACTACTATCTAAAGCTCCCCGTTCAAATACTATGCTTTTCATTGTCGCGTACTTGATCAGTCCTTTCGGAGTCGACGAACCTATGAACGCGGGCCTAAGGGCCATATGCTTATTCTCTGCCCAAGGGTTAAGGAACACTGGCAATTCCTTTATATTTTCTGTCTCTCAATGGGATTACCTGATACAAGAATTACATTAAATGTGATGGGGGAAATGGGGAGGTTTAAAATCTAACATGCATTGAAATTAAAGAAATACAAGTCGTTTAAAGCAAATAAATTTTAGGAACATTTTGACACATCCGTCGCGCTGGTTCTCGGGGATAGATACTTATGAATTCAATTTGCAGAATCGCCGTTTCAAAATAGTTTTTGCTTACGCTTTTTAGCGAATCTGTACGCAACTGCGCTCACTATCTTGGCAACAAAAGAAAAGAATGGGAAAATCAATGAAATAACAAACATATTAAAAAATCAATTAGGAACTCATAATTACCTTTTCTTCAGGCGTATCGTCCGCAACAACTCTAGCCACTACCAGCAATATAAGGCACCATTGCCGTGCGCCCACCCACAGCAGTCCCATCAGTGCTGAAATACGACAGTTCCTTGATATGTCAACCATCAGTGAGAAGCGATGTGCACTTTGCAAATATCGAACAATGGAAGAACTGCCGAATTGCGAAACGCGGCGTATCGATCAGAAAAAAAAGAACACCTACATGAAAAATCGAGAATAAACACGTAGGTATTTGAGCAATTTTGGGCTTCGACGGGTACTAAACACGTCCACCAGAGAGTGTACCTGTTAGCAGAACAATGGGGATAGCGGCAATTTGCATTCGCAGATTGGGTCAACGTTCGCGCTGGTAGCGGCCGTAGCCAGCTGGATGGTACCAACCGCGCTGTGAAATTTGATAGCCTCCCATTTCCAATTAGCTATGACTATATCATGGGGCTAAATTTTGCGTGCATATTTGGCACTGCAGAATAACATCCAAATCACTGCACAAAATGATTTGCTAGTAATCAAATCCATGAAAACAACATGCTATTTCTTGTCGTGATCTCAGCTAATAACCATAACAGAAACGATTCTGATGGCCTCAACCAATCAGAACTCGGCATTCCATAATAAAAATGGAAGAAAAAACCCAAAGGAGAACTGAGAGTAGCTAGAGAGGAAAATAACCTGTCGCACTAAAAAAAAAAGGAAAACAGACTACCTGGGGCAGGCTTCCACAACGCAGCGTTCATAGTTTGCGACTGCGCGATCGCAATCTCCGGCGTCGCGAGGACAAGAAATCGTGGCGATTTCGAATGTCTCGTTTGACGGTGTGTCACTGGTCATTCTTCACCTTTGTCGCAGCTGGACAAAAAAACGGCAGCCCAGCAATTGCACCATTACTCGATTACCACATCTCACACTATCTTTTTGAAGAGAAAAACACGTGAGAATGAGACAGTATTTTTAGCGCATCAGCAAACAAAAATGAATGCTACGAAATAGGTTCTCAAAAAAAACTGAAGCAAAAAATGAAGAGATAAACGTAATGAAAGGGCGAATGAATCGAAAGAGGTTGAAAGAGTTATGACAAAAAGAATGACAAATGACAGATGCGACGCGTAGCGCACGCATCGAGGCGCCACTGCGGCCACCCAACCAGTACGTACCTACTCCTTTCGCGTCAGCAATTGAAATGATCCGTGAAACTTCGTATAATGGCATAGAACTTTGCCATACGCTGCCGCCGGAGCGGTACGCTTGGACGTGGTGTGGGGGCATCGCCCATCACACAGGATGTCACTATGCAGACAAACTAGTTTCGATTCTTTAAACGTTTCCAATTTTCCGCTCACCCCTGGCGACCACTCTGTGAGAACAGCCTCAAATGAATACTATCACCCTACTATTCCGCTTGGGCGGAAGTGGTGTAGTGGCAAGTGGCATGCTTACCACGCGAGCGTCCGGGGATCCTAATCTGAGGATCGGTAGATCGCCCGGCGCCAACCAAGCCTTCCGCGGATCGGGTTAATGTACCGGACTGTCTGGGAGGATAAAAACACACTGACTTGTACATCGGCTGGCCCCCGCAAGTCATTGTATAGGCCACATCGCATTCAAACGCCACTACGAATGTACAAATGGAAGTAGAATGCGTGCCGCATCCCAAAAAGGATTGATCAACGGCGAATGCTGATCACAGCCGAATGCGTTAACGCTTTCTACCTCGTTGTACAATTCGCCTGCATACACAGCGGGTAAGTGACCAACCATCCACAATTACAACGGCCTGCTATGCCCGTTTATCTGTCACTGCTCTAACCTTTCGTGGTAGAACTACGACAGAAAGTTCACGTATTCACATGATTATCCGTGCACGGCCAAAACCTACGAGTTAGTTAAGCTGCACAGGCCGGAGTGATCTTTGGTCTCAGTGCTCCTCCTGCAAGTTATCGTATAAACTTTGTTATAAAGGCTTGATAAACAGATGATGTGGGGTTCCCCATCACATCTTTCTTTTTCCTGAATCATGATGGTCATAAAATTTCAGATCATTTAGTTTTTGTTGTTTTTTGTTGTTGTATATTTGGTTTCGATTCGCAAGGGCGAGGAACCGGGGCCAAAAACGGCACTTTAACGAACAACAAACAAGGTTCAGAGATTGCTTTGCAGATTTGGACACACTCAACCCTCACGGGGAGACCCTACTGCTTACAATCCATCGAGGTCGGAAACGATCGGTGCTGTAAGAGCTCCGTAAGCAAACCAACAAGCGCGCATTACTGTGGAGAAAGTCACGGACAACAACCAGGCTATTTTTAGCGAGTTCCCAAACATTTTCGATCGTTGTGGTATGAGTAAATGTTCACGACAGCGCGTTTCCCGCTGACGTGGACAATACCAAAACAATTAAAAAGATTCAAAACGTTCAAACCCTTTACGGCGTGCGAAAAATCAGCATCAGCTCCTCTTTGCTTTGAACGCAGTGAACGATGACACCCCTCTTACCCAATCTAGCTGTCACAGCCTCACAATTTGTAGAGACCACCTACTTCAGATATCGGTCGTTAAACAACAAGTATTTAGATCGAGGGAATGACTCTGTACCTGTTCTAGTTGGGCTACGGCCTCCAGGTCAGGTTATTTATAGTTCCAACTAGGTAGCCGATTACAGAGTTCCTCCACCGACTCTTCATTTGTCAAGCAAAATTCAAACTTGGTGAATAGCCCCTCATTCTTAGAACACTCAATCAATATCGGTATTGACCTTCCTCTCAAATAATTGCTGAAATAAAAACTAAATCAGTCATGTAGTGGCACTTCAAGTCAACCTGCTTGTCTACGTTTGACTTGATCAATAAACATAAAGTAAACAAAAAATGAACAGTAAAGTATGCTTTTTCTTATGCATTGGACCTCTTCAAATGGAAAGCAATTATCAGCAGGTGAATAACACAAAGCAGCTTCCCATTAAGAGTTCGTAACCAATATCAGGAGAAGAAGCGCCCTTTGTAACAGGCTGCCACTATTCCCAATAAATACTAAAACATGATGGTACTTGGGACTTCGAAGGATTACCGCCCTGGCACATCAGAACGCTCTATAATTGCTATTGAAAGGGTCATTATTATTTACAGAAGAATAGCACTACGGCCAATAATTGAAGCGTGATGATTTAACCACTTTCGGCATCGCGTGGTTGAGTGCAGACAACCAGAGCGGGGGATAATGCATGGGACAGAGAGAAAAATAATGACGCGGCATAAAGTGTTAGCTGACCGGGATTAATATAGCTTATGAAAATGAAAGGAATCAGTTAGTTCTCACATTGCTAAAGTCTAGTACATACAGCTCCTAAAGCTTCTGCCTCTTTAAAAAAAACAGCTTTTTTCTGGTCCCTTCAAGAAGTTGGAGGTCCCAAGAAGAAAAAGTGCATAATTGACGAGTTGAGGTTGACAAAAAGCACAAACTGCGAATATAATAAATCATAGTCGGCTGTTCGATCGTAACGACCACCGACTATGAAAGCGCCTTACGTTCTCCGTATTGCAACACAATCCTTTTTGAATCTAGGTTGAAATCTCGAAAAAAAAAACGCGCGCTCAGATTGAATGCAGATAAGAAGTAGAAAGGGCACCCAGATTACTTCGATCAAAAATGGAAAAGGAATACGGATTAGTAGTTATCGAATGGTAGTAGGCAAGCAGGTGTAAGACTACTATGCTTTATTGATTGTTATTCGCAACCGATTTTTGTGAGTGCTGACGGTTCCTCAATCTCGATTTCCCCACCACGGAACAAATAACAAAAGGACTGTGACCCAGAAGTTGAAGGGATCAGCGCTTCCTGCACTCTCTCGGCGAAATAGTGATAGCATAGTGGAAAATGAGAAACCCTTGATTCAGGGGAAAAACAGTCAGTCTAGGAATGGAGAAAGGGAAAGTCAGAAAGTCACTTGACACGTAAGAAAGCTGGAATGCGGAGAGGGTGCAGACAACCCTCGCGGCTCCGGAGCGGCTGGACCAGGGTCAACCGTTACGTGGACCGTTGGACCGACGTTGGACCGATATTGGAGCGACGTTGGACCGATGTTCACCGCTCTCCGCGCCGGCATTCACTCTCGCCACCCGCGAGCCGTCTGTGTCTCCGTGCGTACGTTCACTCTCGGCATTACTCTCGTCGTCGCGTTGGACTTTGTCCAACGGACGGTTGACCCTGGCTGGACCCTCTACCCAAACCGCCACGAAATTTTGTCAAAAATTCCCAGAACTCTCTAGCTGTAATCGAAAATGCAAGAGGTTGTCCAATCGAATCCAGAGAAAAAATATCAGCAGAAATTCTAATTCGTGCCGATGGAAACGTTGCACTAGTAATTAAGCCTCCTATCATAAAAAAAACATAATCAAAAATATGCACTCGATAAGTCAATAAATATCATTATTTTGGCCTACTACAAGCTAATCAATTATGTATACGAATGCCGCCACTTGGCAAGAGCTTTGCTGTTCCGTGGGAGCCTAGCGGCTAGTGGTATATAATTGAGAACTGATCCGGGAAACCAATGGGCCTCATTAGGGTGTTGGCAATCCGCCGCAGCAGCCGGCTCTCAAGTACCCAGCAATTTATGTTGAGGAACTCTCCATGACCACCGTCCCCATGCAATCGACAAGGACACTTGGGGAATCCAGGACCACTCAATCATTGCCGAAATAAGCAACTTATAGAGTGGAAAGGAAAAGAAGTGGACGATGATCAACATCTCGGGGATGCGCCACGCATTCGACTTTCATAATCTATTAATTAACAATGAAGCAAAAGGATCTCATGGAACGTTACCAAGTAGTTTTTCCAGCAACACAGTTTTCAAATTTGTTTATTTTTATTACAATCGATTTTAAAATAATCGTCAACAGAGAAAATACAACATCATGGTATAAAACAAGAAATGGAAAACAACAGACAAAAACACACTAATTGAGATAATGCTCCATGTGTACGAGTAATTAAGATCTCCCAATAAAATAAAATAAAATGATGTAATACTCAAAGACAACACAATCAAGAACATGTAAAACTACGACGATCCAACAACGGTATCTATAATTACATGCCAGTTCAAAAACAAGAAGAAAACGTACATGCGCGTACGCGTCACATATCTACCGTTTCTTTGCACATAATATCGGTAAAACTGAACGGACCTACTAATGCATGAAATTCTCAGACTCAATTAATCACAACAATCACGAATGTTGATAAATTACATTCAACGGGCGATCACAATATGAGTATATTTCAGTAACATCAATAAGACGAATTCTTATGAACACTGGTTTAAAAGAAACAAATTATGCGCACAACAGGAGAGCTAGGACATATCAGAATCCTAGAAACTCAAGAAAACGGGAGGGTACGACGTCAAATCTATAAAAGCACAGGAAAGAAAAATATAGTGTGTCAGCCACTGACCACTATCCAGGAGGATGCCAAGATTAATACAGAATTTGGGATAATATGGCGAAATTCATGCACCGAGAATTCTTACGGAAATACTTAGTGGAAAAGGCAAAACAAAAGTATTGAAACTAATAACACTTCAACACAGGCGAGAATAAATAGAAACAGAAAAAATATGATAGACGTTACTGATGATAAGCTGCATTTCATAACGCACATAAAAAGAGTAACAGTTCACAATATTTGGGCCTGTACCACTATGCGCAAAATTTGCGCATGAGGAACCCTTTACATGTGAAAACTAAGTAAACCTTAATGCTAATTGCCACTTTAACGTTTCGGGCATCCCGCCAGAGTCACCGCCTTCGCGGAGTATCGAACGTAGCGCATAAGATCGGGGCCTTTTTCGAATTACACGGTGCAATGTTACTGGTTAAGCTATGCAAATAGTCTAATCATTGCTCTAAATGCCTACTTACCAACAGTATAAGCAACAAAATCTTATAAAACGGCTTTAATTAACCTAATCCGTCTTAAAATACATCATTGAATGTACCATTCCAATCTGAAATGGATTTTCTTAAAAGCTACATAATTTTCAAAAAAAGGCAATCAATTACGAACGCATCGAATTTTGGAGGAAACAGGATATTGCTGTTTTTGTCAAAAAACATAATTGCCAAAAAATAGTGCGGGGTTTGGATTCCAAAAATTGGTTTTCATTGGAAGCAGTGTTTTTAACGCATCTTGTAATCTCTTTGATATACAAAGGAGAACAAAAACGCAAGAAAACGATTAAAATGTGGAAATCTTTGCGCCATTCTGCCGCAATCCCTGATAACTGGTTTGAGACTCATTGCTACAAGCTTCTATTTGCCCCCATTGAAAATTTCTACATGAAACCGGACTGCTTAGAATTAAAACACGGTAAAAACCACAGAATTATATTGCGAAAACTGTAACATCAGACGCTAGCCTTGGTATTGATTAAGGAAATGTAGGGACAATCAACTCGTCGTATTCGACCAGTAACTACAACAAGGGTCAATTCCAACATAGTGCCAGTTATGGACCATATGTGTGCCATAAGCGACTACTCATAAACCTGATACTAAACTTGTCTGACTTGACCAAAGGAAAACAAAACAGTAAATCAGATGAAAGTTGGCAACACAAATCTACTTGCTTTCTTAACCAAAGATGACAGGAAACCTACTGCCACCAAAAACCAACAAAAATATGTACACTTAAAGAAAGCCATTCATAGCACAAAGCCGAGGTTGAATACATCGAATCCATACCAGCCGCACCCGAATGCGAGCACTTCAATGTCAGAAAGAAAACCTAAAAAATAATAGTAGATTTTTCAACGTCAGCAATATTATTCTTTGCTTCACTCAAAAAACCTCTAGTAAAACATCGCAGGCGTACAACGTAACAATCAATGGCGAGGAACAACAGAGGGCGTAGTACTCAATTCTCTGAAAGCCGTCTCGAGGCACCTGAAAGAGGGTAAATTGAAACCAGGTTCAACTCAAGATGAATTACCGATTCCCTTTTGAAAAATAAAAGCATACGGTATGAAAACACAGTATTCCGCGTTATTCATCTCTTTGAGCATCGCCAGGCACCCTAATTCTTGAGGGGGGGGGGGCGGTTCAGTTAACTGTAAGTCGGTGTTTCTATCCTTCCCAGTCGAGTTTCGTACCAGTCATAACATTTCGGGGGTACAAAGGGCTCGGTTGAAGTGCCTTGACAGGACCCAGTCATGGACAAACCTCCACATCACAATCTTGGTAAGGGGCACCTTCTTTAAAATATTAAAGAAAAATTACCTTCTCAAATCTCCGTATGATACGACAATGAGATTATTTCCGTCCCTTGACACGAGCTGCACTTTTTCGGAGACACCGGCATCAAGCTAAACCATGGAACGCTTATTTCACATAGAGAAATAGAGTAATTATATAGTTTATAGGATATAAACCGAAAACAAATCACTTTATTAAGGCACTGGACAATATGGGCCATATCCATCCAAGGTTTGCCGCTTTCTGTTACCTAAAAATAAGAATATGAGGGGAAAATCAAAGCATAGCTTTGAAATCTTACTTGATGAAAGACGTAATCTCTGAACAATTTTATTAGGAAACGGTCACCAGTTTCAGACCACGTGGGATCCAAATTGTGTCTGAAATAGCAATAGATTCTGATGGTGATAAGATTTCTCGTGAAACAGAGCTATACGAGAATGACAAATTATAAAATTGAGGAAATAAAGCACTCACTCTGGTCTTTCCACAATCGTGTTAATTTTGGATAGGATTCGGAACAATCGACCGTTCTCCAATTCCTGAGAATTATTTAATTGAAAAATAAACAAGGAATAAATCAGAACTGTAGAGAACCATAGGGCGTCGTTTCTGCGTGAATAACTATTTTACGATGCAGTTAGCAAACAACCCATTGCGTACCCCGGTGTTTTTTCTCCCAACGACGCCTGTGGCCAACGTCCATTTATACTCGACGCCGCATGCTGCGTGAATATAAATGTTCTATTTACATCATATGCGTGTGGATCGCATAAATTTACTCTATCTAGCTATGTATGTTTTGATAGAGCAACTGAGAAATATCACCATTATTAAAAAGAAAAGATACGAAAAGAACGACGAAAATCAAAAGCACTCATTGAAAGGCATTAAGAGGGGCAAAAAGGGCATGAGTGCTTGAAAAACAGCGGATACTGTTGTTATAAGTGCTCGCGGCATCCCCAAACTTTTCTAGGCATTTCCTCAGCTAGAGCACTTCCACGTGTAATGTTGTTTCCTGGACCAGAAAGAAAATATTCTCAGCATGAGAAAATGCTAATTGAAGCGATAACAAAATAATGCTGCACCATGCGCAACAAATGGTATGCAATGGGTTATGAAAAAGCCGCTCGATCTTTTTGTGAATAGAACAAGGAACAAGCCAAAAAAAAAACAGAAAGAAATTCCATCATAATAATATCACCTTGCTGAGCTCATTCTCAAGCATGTCGTTTCGCATTTGAGCTGTCTCCAGTTGCGCATAAAAACGTGCTCCAATCATTGGCATAATCTCATTTATTGATTTACGACCCGACGGTGAAGAAGAAAGAAGGAAACTGAAATCAAACACACTAATAAAGCCAAATTAGAGTGAATGTAGTTTGGAAGCTCTTCTTCTACAAAAACTTTATTGATAACGTTTCGGGCCTAAGCCCTTCTTCAGATCAACTGAAAAACAGCATAACACATGTACAACACATGAAAACATTGTGTATAAGAGGTGTACCCCACCAACGTCGTCCCACTGGAAAGGAGCGGGGAGGAGGACGAAATGGTTGACAGGAAAATGGTGATGGGATGCTACGCGGGCTTTTATATGTGAAAGAAGGGAATGATCTTCCTATTGTCACAACCGCTTCCCTCTTGCACGTAGCCCTGGCCTATAGTTCTATGAGCTTCATCGCCATCTTCATTTCCTCCTTATTATTGATCGGTGGTGCACACTGCCTTATTTCCAATGCTTCCCTTATCTTTCGCTCGACCGGGTCAGTCACATTTCTGTGTAGGATAACAACACGAAGTGTCGGGGGCATTTCTTGTGCGTGTCGTAGTGTGCGGTGTTTTGAGAATGGACTCTCTGCGTAGTTCTGGGGACTACGCAGGGCTCTTATGTGCTCATCCATTCTCTTGTAGAGTGGTCTTGCCGTTTCTCCAACGTAAAATTCACCGCAACCGAGACACTCTACTTTATACACAACACACCTCATCTGGCACACCTTCTGCTCCCCACAGATCGTGCAGTTTGTTCGTTCGCACCGATTTTCATATGGACGTGATGATGTCAGAATGCGTCGTAGCGAAGGAGGTGGACGGAAGATCAGGTTGATAGGACACACTACGACACGCACAAGAAATGCCCCCGACACTTCGTGTTGTTATCCTACACAGAAATGTGACTGACCCGGTCGAGCGAAAGATAAGGGAAGCATTGGAAATAAGGCAGTGTGCACCACCGATCAATAATAAGGAGGAAATGAAGATGGCGATGAAGCTCATAGAACTATAGGCCAGGGCTACGTGCAAGAGGGAAGCGGTTGTGACAATAGGAAGATCATTCCCTTCTTTCACATATAAAAGCCCGCGTAGCATCCCATCACCATTTTCCTGTCAACCATTTCGTCCTCCTCCCCGCTCCTTTCCAGTGGGACGACGTTGGTGGGGTACACCTCTTATACACAATGTTTTCATGTGTTGTACATGTGTTATGCTGTTTTTCAGTTGATCTGAAGAAGGGCTTAGGCCCGAAACGTTATCAATAAAGTTTTGATACTAATAAAGCCATTAAAATTATTGCAACTTAAATATCTTGATGGAAAATAAAAACAAGTGGGCGACAGATGCGCCTTTTTTCTGGAAAAAGACGTCATAATCCCGGTGATACGCAAGCCTTACGCCTAGTGACATATAAGTAGTGGCGAATGTATTGCACAATTACGCTTATTACGTTATATATTAGGAAATAATAAAGTTCCAAGAAAAAATCGCATGCGTCGCAAAGCCTATGAATTAACCAAATAAAAATGCTCGAATTAAGAATTTCAAAGAAGTGGACGCGCACTCCTTTAAGTGTCTACGATCAAATCAATATGAAATCGATAGTGAAGAAGACACGCAATTTCGCTGCCTGAGCGAAATGTGGGCTGCCATAACGAACAAGCGTGAGCGCATATATGAAAATCATAATAAGGGCAGACTACCTTATGAGATTTTTCATATCGCTGCTGTAATGATTCGTGACGTATGTCATGCTCTGCTGGACAAGGTCTCGGCGAGCCGAAAAAGCGTTGCCAGTTGCTAAGGCAAGAAGAACCCGACCAAGAGCGTGAAGATCTTCCATCTTAAAAGCATTAGATTTTGGAATATAAACCTTTCAACATCAAACAATTGGATAATAAAAAAGATCACCTGCAACTGTTGCACTTGGGTGTCGGGAGCAAGAAGATCGGCGACTCCACCGCAACTCAACAGGATCTTAAAAAGAAATGATTACAAAGAAACCTAAAGAAATAGGTTGAATTTTTACCTTGCTTTTGCCGTGAACAAGGATTTTCGATAGATCTACACATCTGGATGCGAGACCATTAGCATGAACGGCTCGCAAAGCAGATGAGAGCTGAATCACATACGACCACAGCAACCACTCAACTACTCCAGCTCCCTGCTGCATTTGATTCGATGCGTGTCCAGAGAGTTGACTTGACATTTTGGCTCCAGCTGAAAACTTCTAAACTTGTAAGAAGAAACAGTTACAAGTATTTTAATTTAATCCAACGAATACTACATAACTATTAGGCATCTCTAATAATCAGAAAAAAACGTTAAACTGATAAAAGTGGCAACCCGTACTTATTCCATCGATGAAACCGCTACCAAGCATCCGACCGAAATGTCGAGTCTTCAACGAATCCGCCAGAGGATGATAGTCATAGACGAGAATCACGGCTAAAAATATTTGAGTAAAGAATTCAGTCCATATGGGGGTAGCAGCTTACTAGGACGCATTTTGAGGAGAACATTTGCAAAAGAAAATATCGACTTGTTCAGAATAGCTTTTACAGCTTAAACCACCACGGCTATTGCTGGTTATGCAATCAGGCCATTGTATGCAAAACTCTGTTGCCCCTCATTTTGTTGGGTTTTCAAGTACTTCGTTTAAATATGCTCATGTATTCAAGCGTTAAATGAATGTATTCTCGAAAGTTTATCTAAATAAATGAACTCAAACAATCGCCAGCGACGACAAGGCCACAAAAGTAATGCAATGAAACACCATGGGTAGCTCGCCGTACCGACTACACTACCTCGAATTGTCCACAGTAGTTAAGACAATGAAACAGCCTTATCGTATAACTAGTACAGGTAACACAATAAGGAACATGATCACCCGGCAGCTAGTTCTCTAGAGACGGATTTTTGGCTTTTCCCTCCTAGGGCTTTCCACTTATTTTTTACAAAATAATAGAAGTTGCCACTGGGAATGCGGAACAAATACAGAGAAAATTCGAACTCACAACTATCACCGAAAGCTTTGCAATTGGCAATTACTTCTCGCAGTTGTACGACATTGACATTGACTAACTTCTTCCACGTCTCTAACGGTTGCAGTTGTTTCGGAGAAGAAATACGGAAGCCTAGAAACGCTTCTTCCATTACAGAATGATCATAAAAGAAAGAAAAAAATGCGAATTACCCCTTGAAACGTACGCGACGTGAATATAAAAAACAACCAACAAAAGTTCCACAACTCACCGTGTAATCTCCTAATACAATACGTAACACCATCGCGAATAGAAACCGCCTTGAACACGGACTGGGTAGCAAATAGATGTTGATTTTATTTGTTACCAAGTGGGCCAGGTTGATTGTAAGTGCTCCAGCCTAAGCATTTGTGGAATTTATATAAAGCGAATATGCCCATCGTCATCGTGTTAAGACGTTTGAACCAGATGACTTTGTCCAAAGTCAAACTCATGCAATAGCAACCGGCTTACATCACATACTATGTTGCGCGTAATCAGGAATCAGGATAGACCAGTGGGTCGGCTCGAGCTTCCATAGCGAGTTGCCGATGAACTAGTTCCTACAAAATTATACATCACGTCCGTCACGCCATATTGTAACAACGTTTTCGATCACTTTCCCTGAGATGAATATCTTACCATTTTCACGTCAGGTGAGATAAACTGAGCCATGTTGTTACTAGCCACACTTTTTGGGCGAAATTTGCCTATGTGTGGCACTGGACCTTGATAGGAGAAACTGCCGTTGGTGTTCTGCAACGGAAACTAATTAGGCCTCCAATAATAAGCATATGGCCGTAAACATGATTTTCTTGAGAGCGACAAACAAAGGAACAATAGTACGCCGCACTTCAACAAGCGCATCGCAAGCTTACGTGGAGGGCATCGCGCTTATTTATTTTTATTTATTTTCACAGGTCAATCATAGCAGTTAGCAACCATGAATAACAATGAACCTCCGGAATGGGCACATAGTATGGATTTGACTCAAGATTCAATTTAGTATTTGCGAATAAGGAAAAAAGCTAAGTGCTGATCCAATACACGCACAAACCGTTACCGAGTGGTCAGCGAAAAAAGGGGCAAGGGAGACGCACGCAATGTTGCTAAAAAGCCCTGAAGATAATGCTAGTGCCGAGGCCGCAACGCAACAGGGGCGTTTGCAGGAGGCACCTCTTCAAGCTAAACACGAACCCCAGGCACTGGCTCGGAGGTACTTACGGAAGGTATTAACTAAGTTTGCGTGCTGTGCTGGGAATGAGTTCATGGATAAATGTAGGCGGAAACGGTCCAGCATGAGCTTATTTGTATTGAAACGATGTTGAAGAGCTTTGCGTGGTTCAACAGGCAAATGAGAAGCCTGTTGAATTAGGAGTTTGTAATATTTTCCGCATGATATATTATTTCAGAATTTTGAACTTCTCACGTGGGACCAATCGCTTCATACCAGGTGGATGCAATTCGAAGCTATTTGTAAATCTCGACACATAGAGCTACTTTTCTTATAAGCCCAAAAGACTGAGAACAGCAGGCTTCTTGCGAAAACGGCTTCAAAGGTAAACAATTGATATTCTCCAATATTTCGCGCATGAGCAAGAGATAAAGATTCAAAAGATAAAAATAACTCACAACAACGGTATGATTCTCTGGGACTACTTGCTCGTGTAACGGTGCACTACTAACACGAGTGCTTCCAGTAGCCGAATCAGGCGTACTTAATGTTTGTGGCGGCTGCTGATGTGGATAGAAATAAGTCGTCCCTCCATGATTTTCCTAAAACAAGGAAAGTTTTAATTGAGATTTTGAAGAATTAACGTATCTTTTACCTGATAAAGAGCCAGCGCCTCAGCTTGATTGGCTGGAGATGAGGCATTAGCTAAATGAGGTCGACTAAGTTGACGAACAAGATTACAAATGAGCATCATCTAGTAGGTAAAGGGTCCGATAGCACTGGGGCATAAAATACTATGGCTCTCCTCGAATAAGTAAGAATGAGTAAGAGACGGTATTTCATTTGGTACGACTGGTGATTGATCGATTCTATTTGTCGGTCGTTTCGATTTTTTCAAATAGCACGCACGGCAAAATCAAAATGACATAAAGCACATCATTACTCTAACAATAAGACGTAGCCTCAGATGGATGTCAAACTCGGCGATTGCATAACAGCCGAGTCCGAAATTCAGCTTGTTCTAAAAGCTTACAAGCCGAATTCCACTACTTGGTTGAATAAATGCTAAACAAAAGGAACGGACCAGGATGAAAAGTTGGCGTTGCTCGATGTGGTGTGAACGGTGTATGGGTGCCCGTCTGTTTTCCTGGCGGTGGCGGTTGTTGCATGTCACCAAGGCCAAGTTGGGCAAATTGAGGTATGAATGTAGGAACCTTAAATCTCAAATACGTTAAGGAACGTGAACACAAGGACTAAAAAATAATTTCCAATATGCCATGAAACACATATCTCTGGAGTGAATATGGGGCAGGATTATATTAAAAGAATATCCTCGAACCTCGACATTCGGTTAATTATGCAGAACTATTTAATATTATAATATTAAGGGGCGGAAGTGGTGCAGTGGCAAATGGTACGCTTACCACGCGAGCGTCCGGATCGATCTGGTCGTGAGTCCGCCGGGCCCAACCAAGCCTTCGCATACAGGTCAACCCTTGTTGGCGACACAGTAGCAAATCGGGGGGAGTTGTTAATTTTTGATGAGTTTGTAGAGGGGGGGGGTCGTACTTGCTTCGGTTGTAAGAAGTTGCATGTGATGAGTGGGAGCGCGGAGAAAATTTGCCGTTTCAGCGCGCGTATATACCCCTCCTAGAAAATGGAGCAGTTGAAATATGGGTAAAATACATGGAATTGTAGGGAAATGTAGGGAATTTTTGCGGTTTTACGGTAAGTATATACCCCCCCCTCCCCTCTCCTCCCCGCGCTCGACGGTAATTTTTTGGGGTAAAAATTGTTTTGAAAGAGGGGGTCGTATGAAACATTTCATGAGGGAGGGGGGTCGTAAAAACTTTTTGAAAAGTAGCAACGATAGGACCGACCCTGCTCCATCCCTCCGGGGTCGGTTAATTGGTAGACTTGTCTGGGAGGATAAAAACACTGACTTGAACATCGGCTGGCCCCCGCAAGTCATTGTATAGGCCACATCGCATTCAAATGCCACTGCGAATGTACAAATGGAAGTAGAATGCGTGCCGCATCCCAAAAGGGATTGATCAACGGCAAATGCTTTATCCTTTCAATGTTTTATTAAATTTAACCCATAACGGACGGCCAGTGTATTTTTCGCGTGCGCCACCATGTGGCGCACGCCGCCACCCAGGGTAGGGTTTATGTAGGCTTATGTGAACAGCAGGGGTAAGACGGGGCTAAAGTAGGTGTCGGAGTCTCATCATCCGAAAAAAGAGATTTCCGTTGACGACAAGTTCGTAGCCCGCCTTTCCGCTCTAAAACTAGGGTGCAAAGAATGAATGGAAGCTGTAGGTGACATTATCGAAAAATGCGAAACAACAACCCCGAGCAAGGATGTGGCTATATTTAGGGGAAGGGGTCTCGGGACGTGCGAACCATGGGTAAGCCACCCATCAAATAGTAAACTTATGTAAATTAAGAACAATGTATGTAAAATTTATTGGTTTGTCAAAAATCCAGCCGTCCAGGTCCTGGGAAGATATGTTATTCCACATTGCTGAGAGTATATATGGGTATATTAAGATTGCTAGAAACATTCCAAAAACAAAAGAAATAGTGAGGATATAGTGTTCTTAATGATTGGACTTAGCAGAGCATTGGACGCGTATCGATCGTCAGACGTGTTCAAAGGTTAGACGATCGATACATATTTAACGCTGTGCGATCGTTACGATCGGACGATCGACTATGAATGCGCGCTTAGCAGCATTGTTCCAGAATACACAGTTCAAATGCCGAAATCTATAAATTCGAAATGAACTCACATTTGCAACGAGGTGCAAGCCACTACTTCCTCCTGAAAAGAAAATTAATGAGGATAACATTTCCATGGTCCTGAGAATTTGAAAATATACTCTAATCCAGTATGGGAGGAGGGGAGTGGTGCGACAGTTCATATCGCCTAAAGTAATCCAATTTCTCGCAAGGATAGAAAGCTCCGTAGTGGGTGTAAAAGCGAAAGCGAAATGGTTCACGCACTCCGGGGATTTTCTCCACGTGCGATTAATTGGAACTTCTGTATCAAAAGCAACTGTCGCACAACATTTCTCCGTCCCTTAATGGATGAGACCCACCATTTCCACTGCCAATAGACTACAACTATAACACAACGACAACGAGATTAACTCTTGAAAACGTAGCATTCGTAACACATACACTTTTCTGGCCTTGACAGTACACTCATGATGCATCTACCCGGCTTCGTTGTCTCCGACGTAAACCTTCACTTACTCCCACCCAGGCGCTCTATGTTTTGAATGCTCCACCGCTCAAACTTTCTTTCATGACAGTATCGATTAGTCTTGTTGACATATGAATTATCGACCGACTTGATTGGAACTGATATGAAGTTCAAAGTCGCACGTCATGTTTGATGTGATTGAGAAAGCGCCACAGAGCACATGAATTTGAAATGTTTCACGCAGGACAACATTACATGTAGAGCTAATTTCAAAAGGAGGCCGCTCAGAAAAAATTATCGGGTGCGATGAATTGTTGAAAATCCTCAAACCTTCCAACAAATTTTTACTGGATGATGAAACTACTCTTTTTTCACATAGGTGCGGTGTAAAACTACGCGAAACCGGTTTTTGAGCTTTTTTCTCGACTTTGCGGATCTGCTTTGAGGCACAAGATTCAGAACCAAAAACAATCACTGACACACCATTATGGCAGCAAGTTTCTCTTTATGACTGCCTTTCATGAAAATTAGGCGACCGCTTGAAACTTCCACACTCAATAAAAGCTTTTAAGAGTGTGGTAGCTGAAAGAACTTCTACAAGGAGACACTGCTATTTTAGAGCAGAGCTACTTCAAATCTAATCTAATCAATACAGAATCTAGAAATTTAGCAATTCAACCAAAGGTCGATAGGAATTATTGAAACAAAAGTAAAAAGGGAGTTCCGTCCTACGAAGAGTCAAGGTGACATACTGTTTCTGAAGATACCCACTAATTATAGAATCTTCTGAATTAATCAAATTCGAAACACGGACGCCCGTGTACTTTTTCAACGGTGGCCACCTATGAGAGCGCTACATTTACCAGGAACATAGAATGCTTGAATGCTCCTAAATTCTGGAGGGATCTTGTCAAATTCAGAAGTAAAAAAGTTTGCCAAAATTGGGAATGCCAAGGCTTAATACTGTAGTACAATTTTTCACTCATATATTCTACAAGAAAAAAGTTCCTAGCATTGAAAAGCTGACGAGTTTCACTCAAGTTTTTTCTTGGACCAGTTCCGAGGTGGCAAACATTTTACTTCGACATCAGAGTCCTTGATTCCTT